GAGCAGCCAGGAGGTGTGTCTCAGTCATGAGGTTACCCAGACCCCTGGGAGGATCTAAAAATTAGATCCCCTATATAGACCCATTATAACCCCTATATAATCCTTATATAATTCCCCCTATGGTTCTAGGGGATCTAATTTTTAGATCCTTTTGGGGGTCTGGGAACACCCTCGGGTTTAGGATCGTACTGAGGATGAGATGACGGCCACCATTGCTGGACTTGGGGAGGAGCTGACGACTCTGAAAGCCGAGCTCACAGAGCTTGCCAGTGGTGGGAGCTGAATTTGCAAAGTTGTTTTTTGGGTTTTTGATCCCTAAATTAATCCTAAACCCTAAACTCCAAGTCCTGAACCCGAAATCCCAATCCCAAGGCCCAAAACTCGCAACTCCCAACCTTAAACCCTAACAGACCTATTCAACATCCTAGACCCTCCTCCTACCCTCAAATTCGGGCCTAAGTACTCACCAGTATAAAACCATATATCCCCAATTAAGGTTACAAGGAGGGTCCTGGATGAAGCCTGGGTTTGCTTAGGTGCCATGGACAGCGCCACCGACCTGCGAAAGAAGGAGGAGGCCAAGAACACAGCCACCATCAAGGATGCGACTGGGCTGCTTTTTATTGGGTATATGGGTAATATAGGGTTTAGGGCTTTGGGGGTTTAGGGCTTTTTGGGTTTAGGGCTTTTTGGGTTTAGGGCTTTTTGGGTTCAGGGTTTAGGGTTTAATTGGATAGACGGGTTCTAGGAACTACAGTCGCAACTCCTCAAAGGGGGGATATACAAGGGATGATATAGGGGAGTATTTCTGGGGGTGCACTAAGGGGGGATACTAGGAGTTTAAGCTTGCTCATATGGTTTTTCAAGGATATGTACGTGTAGGGTTTGGGGTCAAGGGTGTGTTCTACAGATCTTTGTTGAAGGAGGGAGCATTTGGGATACACTTCCATGAAGGGTGATCCTCACCCAAGACGGAACATATCTTCACGTCTATTCTAAAAGCCTCAAAACTAACTTCAAAAACGCGTTGAACCCTGAGCCCCAATCCCCTCACTCCCGAAACCCTAAGCCTCAAAAACAAAATAAGCCCTAAATCCTAAGGCCTAAGCCCCAAAGCCCTAAAGCCTAACTGTAGAAGCACAGATAACCGCCAATAATCTGATCCTAGACTCGTCGTGAGCCCCTACATTCCACAATTCCTAGGAACCCCTTTGTAAAACCAGTTACTGGTTGGATACGGTATCCATTGTATTGTCCATTTGCTTTTGCGATGTTTCCATTGTTGGGGCCACATCCCCGAACCTAAGCCCCACCCCAAGGGTCTAGGGTTTAAGGTGTAGGGTTTAGAAACTGAGCCCTAGATTTACTTGGAAGTTTGGCAAAATCATCCCTAAACAATCTCTGATGATGAGCCTAAAGTCCCCTTCTGCACGATCCCAGCGCCGTCGAGGGGCCCTCGACTGTGAGAAACACTTACACTGCCTGCTAACCTGCAAAAGCTCCAAGCCTTAAATTCCAAACCCTCAACCCAAAACCTTTAACCATAGATTTGAAATTGTGCATGCCGCTACATAATGCTTCTAAATAGCCCATAAATATAGTCCCTAACCCCATATAATCCGCACACAATCCCGGTATGGTCATCTCAACCTAAACCCCCATAGAGTCCCTTTTCAGCCTTGACCCCATATAATCCTTACATATTCTGCTAACCAAGGCAAAGGAAGCGCAGACCGCCGTGGCACAGGCTCTTGGGGTCCTCAAGGACTTCTACGCGAAGGCTGGCGAGGCATCGGATTGGGTTTATGCAGGGTTTAGGGTTTAGGATTTGGGGTTTAGGTTTTAGAATTCAGGGTTTAAGATTTAGGGTTTTGGGTTTTGGGTTTAGGATTTAGGGTTTAGGATTTAGGGTTGAAGGTTTAGGATTTGGGGGTCAGGTTTTTAGGGCTGTGGGCTTGGGGCCCATATGGAAACAGTGCCCTGACTCAGAATTCGTTGTTGAAGCCAGCTTTCTTAGTTGGGTCGATTACAGCACGTGCTCGTCCGCAAGTAGGCACCTTACACCAGGCCTAAGACTACCCTGCACCTGTATGCCAAAATCCTGAACTTAAACTTTAGACCCTAAACCTTAGACCCACCACCCTGAACCACAGACTCTAAATTCCCGACCCCGAATGCAACGCTGACTGCTGGATGGGAGGAAAAGAGGTGCCTTAACAAAACGACCCGCAACCCCTAGCCCTACACCCTTAACCTTAAACCCCAAATCCCTAAACCCTGAATCCCTAAATCCCTAAACCCTAAATCCCAACCCTGAGCCCTAGATGGATCAAGGCAACCTCCCTCGTGGAGACATCATCCACTGCGGACGCCTCCAAACCGAAGATCTTCAGCGATGAGCCCTACAAGGGGATGCTCGGTTCAGGGTCTACATAGGGTTTAATTTAAGGTTTAGGGTTTAGGGTTTAAGGTTTAGGGTTAGGGTTTAAGGTTTAGGGTTTGACTTCTAAGCTTTCAGGTTTATGGCTTGGCGCATCGGTAGCCTAGGGTCTGGGGTTGATATTTTCGTGCTTGAAGTTGATAGCCGTAGGACCGTAGGATATATGCGTTTGACCAGGGCTTCAAGAACCGCTGAGGATGGGCGCTGAGGGCGGCGGTGTCATGTCCATGCTGGAGGTGGGGACGAATCACCACTTAAACCCAGAGGGACAGTACTGGGTAGGCCCCTGGGATATTTGATATTTTCCCTATTGGCTTTAATAAGGGACCCTATATACTAACATTTTTCAAAGGGTTTTAGGGGCCAACCCAGAGTATGATCCCTTTGCACTACTTGCTCAAAATTTCGTAGTTGTGCCTGTACTGCTCCCTGTGCAACTCCTATGGCCCAAAGTTCCTTGCATAAGAACGGCGAATTCTGGCAGATGGTACCTTAAATTACAGTGAGGGCTTCCCAAACTTAGGAGTTCCGTTTGGGGGTTCCCGTAACAAGGATTACAATACTATTGGGTCTATAGCTGGGTCCTCCTCTCTACGGAAACTGCTAAGTAAACCTCAAAATGATACCGGTATCTATTTGGGACCTGCAGTGGACCCCCCTGAGAAGCGTGAGGGCAACTGGAGGGTCAGTGGGACTTAGTGTGAGTATACTTATACGCCCCAGTCGCTAACCCACATGAGAACCCTTCTTTTCCAAACCGTTACCCTGACTCTCCAAGTAGGGCTTGAAACCCTAACCCCAAGAAAGCTTCAGCCCTAAATCTAAGCCCTAAACCACGAACCCTTTCAAGAAATATAGCTCTGTTGTAGCCCCCCAGGTGATCGAAAGTGACTTCGCACGTCTCCAGGCCGAAACTGAATCAGCAGAGGAAGCTGGCAAGAAGGAATACGAGGACTTTGTGGGCATATGGAAAAGCATAATTTCAGGCTTCAGGATTGGCGGCTTAAGGTTTGAGGTCTGGGCTTGGAGAGTGTACGCAACAGCAGGAATCTTCGGGTAGAGGGTCTAGTGTTTGGAGATAAGTGTGCGTATGAAACAGCAGAACTCTTGAGGGATGTAAGGTTGAGTTTTTGGGGATGAGGGTTGTGGGGGGGGGTTTAGGGCTAAGGGTCAGGGTCAAGGCGCCCGTAGGAGGTGGATGTCTCGCTTAAGGGTTGGGCTTCCCAGCGGAGAAAGTCCTCCACACATGGGTGTTTCCAGAGATCAACAGTCCCTCAGTGAGCACTCTCTCTATCTCAGTATCTCTATATAGTATGTTTGGGGCATGAGACTGTAAGTGTGGAAACCCCCTCGTGAAAGCAGGGCCGTCTTGCAGCTCGAAAAATCCGGATCCCAGGGCGACAAACACCGAATAGACTTGCTCATTCACCTTACAGCAGTAGACTCGGTAGACATGTTTACGTGTACAGGTATGTGCAACTCATCGCCATAAAATATGGCGCATACCTCGCTTTGCAGCTTATTGAAATGTATGCTTCTGTGCGTGTCATCTTCCTTGCCAGGAGTTCATGCAGGACTCCAAGCTGGACAAGGCCACCAAGACAAAGACTGTCGAGCATAAGTCCAGCAAGAAGCAGGCCAAAAGCCAGGAGCCGTTCTGTGAATGGTCATTTCAAGGTATTACTAGATGACTATAGAATCATATATCACGCTAAACGCTAAACCCTACGTATTAGTTTAATATCATATCACAATATTAGTTTACTATATTACTGATTCCTACTCACGTTTTGGTTCAGAACTTTCCATTCAGTATCAAGGTTCAGGGTTCAAAGCCGCGCTGCTGGCTACAAGGTCTTGGGGTTGGAGTTCACCTTATTGGTACTGGTAATGGTAATAGTAGCAGTAATAATTATGGTAGTAGTTATCACAATAAGAATCGTAGTAATAGTAGTAATAGTAGTAACAGTAACAACTGGTATGCGGCAGCTACTGCTGCTCCACCTGCTCCCCTGACCACTACTACGGGTGTTAGACGCGATTTTCACTGTTATTATTGTTATCATCATTATCATTGTGATGATCACCAGTTGTGTTGTGATTTGTGCTGCGTCGCCGCTGCTGCCACTTTCAACATTAGTAGCCTCGCAGGTGCAGTCGGCATGGATGCTCTAGTCCTAAACCCTTGTCGGCAAAGCCCTGAATCCTAACTGCAAGCCTACAACCACTAGACCTTCAAACCTTATGCTTAACAAGCCTAAGCCTAAACCTTTAGCACTAAACCCTAAAGCCTCAACCCGAAACCCCCTAAACCCGTAATCAAATCCTTAGCCCTCCTGGCCCTAAAGCCTCTAATCCCCCTGAACCCTAATCAACCCCCGAGCCCTAAAACCCTAGATCCCTCAAGCCCCAGGAGCTCACCATGCTCCAGGCCGACCTCCAGGGAACTAAGAAGGAGCTGGAGGCTTGGGCCTATGGTTTAGGGTTTGGGTTAGTGTCCTTCGCCCAAAATCAAACCCCTTAGCCCGACAGAATAATAAGCATCCCTATTTTAAAGGGGGTTGTAGGGATATCTGTCCACATGCATATAGAATCCTAAGCCGCAATCCCTGCGCTTCTTGGGTTCAAGGATAGATTGCGGTATTAGTTAGGGTTCGGGGTTTTAGGGCTTTGTGGTTAAGGTTTTAGGGGCCTAAATACGGACTGGGCCTAAATAACGCGAATAGTGGAGAACGCAGTGCAAACGAGAATGAAGGTTAATGGACACTGCGTGCTTCCAGTCTTACAGGAATCTACGGGGCTCTGTGACGAAGGGGCCTGTTTGATTAGAATATTTTCTTGGGTATGGTGTACTTCCATTGTGTAAGGCTTGAGCGGGCTGCGAATTTTACGGATTCCTGAGTGGCACAATGCACACACCCCCTCAGCTCTACATCCCCAAGCCTAGACGTGGCGTGGTGTTCAAAATTCCATTCTTACGTTCCCTACGAACGGCCAGTAAGTACACCTTCATTGGAAACCCTAAGCCCGAAAACTTAAACCAAGGTTTAAGCTGCATGTTGGGACAATGCGTAAGGCTGTCAACTCCACTAAGGTCAATGATGAATGGCTAAGTTGGTGGTGCCTGAAAAGGTAGGAAGCCAGGTGCTGAAGATATAGCGAGATCATGACAACTAGTCCCAGTAGTACCACAGACTTGCCGTGTTATGGACGTTTGTGCATTGCGATATGGCATTTTCTGGAGTCCTTGAAGGGCACGATCATAATCCAGTGGTAGTCCTTATGTATCCCGAGCTCAAGGGCTCCCCGGGGCCCCCCTCATAACAGCATTATCAGCAATCGTGATTGTAATAGCACTGATCTCAAAACCCATTAAACCCTAAAAACCCGAAACCCTAAAACCCCCAAAGCCTTGAACCCTCATAAACCCTCAAACTCTTCAATCCCTAAACCCTGAAACCCAAAAAGCCCTTGAACCCTCATAAACCCTTAAACCCTTTAATCCCTTAACCCTTAAACCCTCACCTGGCCGGAACACAGGCCGCCAACGCCTACTTTGAGAAGCTGAAGCCCGACTGTATCGACACCGGCGCGTCCTACGCGGAGCGTAAGGCCGAGGGTATATAGGGTTATACAGAGGATTAGATAGGGTAATCTAGGGGATTATGTAGGGTTATATAGGGTTATACAGGGGATTATATAGGTCATATGGGGATATATAGGGTTTAGGGTTTCGGATTAAGGGTCTAGGCCTTAGGGTTCAGCCTTACTGTTTAAGGCTTGTTGTTCTAAACAAAGTTTGACAACCTTTCGCGACAATGCCCAAGATGGTGGTTTCTTGAGAGAAATAGTCCCATAGTGGTAGTATTTCAGGTTTTGGAACTTACCAGTCCGCTATGGGATCTTGGGCAAAGGTGGGGCCACAAAGCCATCACCATGCCGGGATCGTTTGGGCTTCTGTATCGACTGTGGCCTTGGCTTCCTTTGTTACAGGGACCATGAAAAAGGGACCACAAAACCCGAAAGCCTAAGCTTCAAATCCAGAACGCCAGGTCCAACAAACTAAACCTAAACCTTAATGTGCCTTAGGCCCTAAATCCGAAACCCTCAGCCTAATTCCCAAGCCCTACGCCCCAAATCCCAAAAGCCTCACCCATAATCCTTAAGCCCTAAACCTCAAAGGCTAAACCCCAAAACCCTAAACCCCTAAACCCCAAACCCCTAAATGCCTGTGAGGCTCAGCGGGAGCAGGAGCTCAAGGACTTGGAAGAGGCCCTGGACATGCTCACCAGCGTGTCCGGGCACTCTTAGGGCTTTAGGGTTTGGGGTTTAGGGTTTAGGGCTTAGGGTTTAGGGCTTAGGGCTTAGGGCTTAGGGTTTTGGTTTTAGGGTTTAGGGCTTAGGGTTTAGGGTTTAAAGTAGGGTTAGGGCATGATTTAGGTTAGTTAGGCCCCCACCCAGTAATACTCAATGGTAGTATGATGGGAATATATAGGGACAGTACTAGTTGTCCTTAGCCTCTGGTGGTCACCTTAGGTTAAGCAATGGTTTTGGTTCCTCACGGCTCCTTTCTTTCTTTCTTTTTAAGAGAAGTCCAGCGTACTGTAAGCATTTACACAGGTATGTCTTTGTGAAACGTCTCCAGAGCTAACTCAGGTGTAAAGGGACGGCATCACTCTTGGCTAGCGCTTGTCAAGCGGACACAAAAAGTGGGCACGTCGCCAGCTTTTCACGAAGCAGTTGATGGAGGGAGAGGCCCCCCTTGCAAAACAACAGCAAGCAGCTGTAGTACCGCAAGTGTTTCAGTTCCCCTAGTGTCGCGGAATGCTGTGGTGGCAGATTCAAGAAAACCAGAATGACATCAGATACTGCATCTACCTGGCTACCACACAGTTGAAGCCAGCAGATCTCCATGACTTCATGACCTTAGACGTGCTCAGCTTCCACAATCGCCGTGATTTGGGCTTTCTCGGTTCATGCGAGTGTTCGTTCATCAAGAGCTTTCGATCAGCAAGAGCATAGCTTCATCCCTGATCTTGGCCCACGCGGACGAAATTGTGGTGTGGGTGGTCTTTTGTGCATATTTCCTTGCGTCATACTTGATATTTGTGTTAATGTGTGCGACGTCAATGCGCATGGTGCTGCTGAATCTGGAGCTTCCATTGTCGTGTAGAGCATTAAACAGCATTAGCAGTAGTATAGGTATTGTAAGGAGGAGGTCACAAAACGGGAATAGCAAAATAAGTCAGGCCTCCACCGGGTTGCAGATTCAGCTAGCAGCTAGCAGTGTGAACTTGCCATTTCTGGCGGAATTGAGGCTTCATGAATCGCATCATGCAAGGATTGCCGGAGGCTTTCTCAAAGGACCGGTAGCATCTCAAAACATCCCGCAAGTTCTGGTAATTTCATGCTTCGATTACGATTGCCATACACCACAGTGTGAGGGGAAAGTTCCCTGTCTACCATGATGGCTGCCGGCCAGCGGAAACATCAGAAACGGTGGCTCTGGTTGGCTGGGCTGCTTTGTACGGTTCTGGCGTCGTGGCCAGCGAGGCCGTTTGGCTAAGCCAAGCGGATGGGTGGTCCAAGAGCTTCATAGAAGCTATAGTCTAAACTCCTTACAAGGGGGTTATATATATAGGGGAGGATTATACGGGAGGATTATAGGGCTTCGTAAAGGGGGATACTAGGAGTTTAGACTTTAGCTTATATACCCCTGGAATCCCTGGATGCCCCGTCAAGGGGGTCTAGCATCTCCAAACCCACGCTTCTAAAATCCCTCTGGCTTTCTTGGAGTAGGGTTTAGCGTTCATGCTTTCAGGGTAGTTTAGGGTTTTCTTGGAGTAGGGTTTAGGGTTTGGGGGTTTAGGGTAGTGTAGGGTTTAGGCCCTGTGGAAGGCCCGCGTTTGGAGGCGCTGCACGGCATCAATCAAGCCCTTCGAGCCCACATGGATCCTGAGCATTACTTCTCGAAACATGTTCACAGCTTTGGCTATCTTAAGGAGCCCGGAACCCTAAACCCTAAACCCAGGAGCCCTCAGCCCGTAACGAGCGCACCAAATCTTGCATCCCTGATTGCGAGACCGCAAGCACATGACCCTGGAGTCCCGAGTCAACATAAACGACCCTACACACTTGATCCTAGGCACTAAAAATCTTAAACCCTGGACGTTACCCTAAACCCTAAACCCCAAACCCTAGACCCTAAACCCTGCTCCATATCAACTCCAGAACCCCTGAAGCCCAAACCCCTGAAATTCCAAACCTAGGAAGCCGCCGAAGCACATTGCAAGTTGCAATTGCTGCCGCTTCACAAGCCCTGGCTCCCTCTGGGAGTCTTAGCTTTGTCCAAGGTGGAGGAGTTTGCGGCTTAGGGTTCAGGTGTTTGGGGTTTAGGGCTTGGGGTTTAGGATTTAGGAGGAGTGGTTTGGGGCTTTGGGCTTGGCATTTTTCAGTAATGCGCAGACGGGGCCAAATAATGTAGAGTTTAGGGTTTGGGATTGACGGTTTGAGGTTTAGGTAGTTTAGGTGTTTGGGGCCTTGGGTTCAGGTGTTGGGAGATAGGGATCCACAGCGGTGTATGTAGCATATGTATGAAGTGCATCAAGGAACCCTACCATGCCCCGAATCTAGGCTTAGGGTTGTTCAGGGTTTAGGGTTTGGGGTTTAGGGCTTCGTAGGGTTTAGGGTTTAGGCTAGGGGCCCATACTTTGAGTTTTTCAATTTCAAAGCAAGTTGCACTCAGGTTCTCTACCACTAAGTGGGTCTTTCCAAGCATTGACGGTTCCCTTAAGGTAATCCTCAACATATATTAATCTTCAATGGAATGGAATTGTCAAATATGGCCTGACTTTGGCCCATAGGTCTTTGGCGGAATTTATGTATATGTTTGGAACATTGAAGCCTCAAGATCATGGGTCAAACTACCCCCAGCCACATTACCCCCTTAGTTCCCCCGTAGTGGGCTTCCATGGCCTGTAATTTTGAAAAAACAACCCCCCCCATCATATCATACTAAGAAACAATGGAAATAGTTAATACTAGGGGGTGGGTGGTTTTCATATTGAGGGCATGGGATGAGTTGGGGAAACATGAGTAAGCCATGAACAGAGGGGGTGCAAAAATCCGTTGTCCGACTTGTCATTCCTGTTGCAATACCAAGAGGCATCTGAAACTCCAACACCTTAGAGAGAGAGAGAGAGAGATATGGGGATTGGTCTCAATTCCCTATAATACGGGGTCCTATATTTGGGTTCCCATTATAATACGGGGCCCTATATAAATTTCCCCCATTTTGGGAACAGTAATTTAGGGAAACTAAAAAATTTATATAGATATGTATATATATAGAGGTTTCCCAAAATTAGGGGTACCCTTTGGGGATACCGATAATAAGGATTATAATAAATTTGGATCTATACTGGGGTCCCCCTATTTCGGGAAACTACCATATATGTAGGTATATATATATATATGTATCAAAGGAGCCTGACTAATCAGCCATATTATCAATTGCCTCAGATCCTTATGCAGCCGTAGTAATCCCCAAACACACTCTGACTATGTAGGCCCCTACTTCACAACAAAGGAGCAGGGCGGATGTGATCCGTTTGGAAAGAGCGCCGCTCCCCAAGGCACACGCCCCTTTTCCGATGCGGGATTCTTAGGACTTAGGATTCGGCACAAGCTTGTTTTCAACAATGGGTGTCTCCCTGCTATACCGCCAAGCAACCAGCGTCTAGCTGAAAGGTCCTCCACCCCCAATCCTATCATTGAAAGTCTCAGGGGTAGAGGGGGTTTGGGGACCGGCCTCAGAAGATTTACAGAGAAGCCTATGGTACGTTTTGACCAGTGATATCTTGTAATCTCTTACAACGGCCAAGTGATTTATAACATGAATCAGCCCTCTAGAAGCTTGGAAGCTTAGGGTCAAAGGTCCAGCGCTTAAAATCCAGGAGGAACCTTCTGTCAGGAGTTTCCCGGCCAAGATACGTTTCTTAGGATCCGCACTTGTTGCAAGTTCGTATTTACGGTGACTCCTTGCACATACAGGTACATGCTTCAGAACATTACACATATCAGCCAGGGGGCCATTGTCTCAACTTGAAACGCTGTGTCAACTTGAGTCGCAAAGCTGTACAACGCACAGCCTAGGCCAACAAAGCCTGGATCCATGGGGCTTTCAACTTTGACCCTGGGCCCCAAACCCTTAGCCCCAAAATGGACCTAGCGGGGAAGCCTGAATGATTACAAATCATATTCAGTGATAATCTCAAGTATCAAATATCCCAACACCCTACTCTGCTTGTTTAAGCCCCTCAGTAACAAGGCCTTCAGCGAGTCGGTGACTGCCGCGGCCAAAGCTCTCAAAGAGGCCGAAGTGGTGTCCGAGGTTTTGAGTTGGGGGTTTAAGGTTCAAGACCTGGAGCTTTAAGAAATGTAGATTGTAGGGAGGCTCTCAATCTTGGGTTGTTGTCCAGAAGGTTCTGCCGCAACAGTTTTTGTAAGTTGTTGTGCGTGGGAGGTTTACATGCCTACGCACACCACGAGCGAAAACGATAGCCAGCAAAATAGTGGCGCAGACGCAACATTACCCTATATTGCCCTATATATACCTATATAGCCCTATATTACCCTATATCATCCCATGATGAGAGCACTGCCAAACCCACAACCACGACCGCTGCCGAAACCACCTCCTCAAACCCCAAACCTCACATCATCCTGAACCCTACACCCGCTACCCTGAATCTCCTAGTTCTTACTAGTAGTATTGAATAAGGGAATCTATTCTATAGGGTTCATAAAGGGATGATGTTCCCTTCTTCCCTAGAGTTAGTACAGTGGCTCAATCGGGGCAACAGGATGGCACTGCTGGAATTTTACACCCAGATCATCAGCTCCAATCACTACCCAGAACTATTCCGAAAAGCTAGAATTTGCAGAAAAGTTATAAACACAGAGATGCTACCCAATGCAAAATTACAGACCTATTACTCCTGCAAGTGTTCTGCAAGTTGTCAGCCAGCTTACTACAAACAAGTTTGTCACCGCATACGACTCACAGATTCAACACACACACACACAATACGGGTTTCGACCTAATAGATCCACGACACAAGCAGCATTCATAGCCAGACAGCTGCTAAATATGTCAGCAAGACAACACACTAACATGTCATTTATCCTTTGAGACATCTTTGGGAACAGCCTTTTGTACGGTGAGACAGCTAGAATTATTGTAGGTCTAACGTAGGTTGAGAGCTCCACCGAATATGTTCTATCTGATAGCCCGAATATATCAGGATTCACAAGTCAAAAACACCGGCTGAAGATGCTTCCTCGTCAAGCAAACAAGAAACATCTTCGGGATTTCGTGAAGGATGTCCACTATCGCCATGCTTGCTCATTCTGCTTATGTCGACAACGTTCTGTGACATAAGAGCGAGATTATAAACACTCCGAGTCAAAGGGAGTAAAGGGCATACACTTCGCAGCAACAAAGGCCAACACATCGCAGAAGTACTATACGCTGACGATACCCCTATATTTGAGACCAACACTCATGCCGGGACCCACACTCATGCCACCAGCAAACTTCTGCGGGAAATGCATATAGAAGCTGGCTACTGCAATATGAGATCGACATATGACAAATTCAT